CAAACACGAATTCCAATAAAGCATATGCCTTTTTTTATCAAAACCCCACTTGAATGCAAATTTACTTCTTTTTTATTGATGCATTTTTACATCTTATTATCAATGTAAATATTGCCAAATATATAAGCAAAAGTGAACCAGAATGCAAATTTACCCTGAACCAGGATTTATACTCTATTTACATCATTTACAAACGCAGCCTTACCAGCATTTTATAGGAAAAATGGCAAGGAATATTATGTAAAAATGCCCCTAAAAGTACATCAAGCAGCATATAGGTCCAATTCCAATACAAACACTTCAAATTTCCATCCATTTAAGAGAGTCCATGCAATCGGCTTATTCTACAGAGGTACAAGCACGAGTTGAAAATGAGATGCAGTCCGAAAATGTTGGGAATCAGCGAACAAACCTGGTGAAAGGAATGGTGTCAACAGGTGGAAAATTACAAGAGAGATCCAAATTATTTTATCACTTTCATTCTTCTATATATATCTTGGAGGCCTACTACCATCTGAGATAGATCCAACAGAACTCAGGGTCCTTAGTTCACAGTTGGAATTGGAATCGGAATTTGGAATCAAAATCTGTTGTAATTGAAATTAGAATTATCTATTCCCATAATCTATTTGGTTCAAATAGAATTGGAAATGAAAATTGGAATAAATTGGAATGGGATTTCATTCTCAAAGGAGAGAGAGAGAATAGCCTTTCCCTAAAATTAAGGAACACCACTTCACCAGGAATGAGAATGGGATTCTAATTCTGCCCAATCAAATAATTGAAATCAGAATGACTCATTCCAATTCCTATTCCTGCAAATCAAATAGGTCCTCAATCCACATATAGATAGGAAAGTGGGTTTGGTTGTAGTTTTGGATCCTGGTCAAATTGCCTAAGCCATAGCCGATAGGATGGATCCATATCCAGTCCATTAACATAGTAGGGTCGGATTTGAAGTATATAATGTGCTGCATTAAACAAGGGCTTTCATCAAACACATTCCATCCATTTCCTTCCCAAGCTCAAGCAGTGCTCTCAATGTATTGTTTAAAATGCTGAGAATGAAAATATCTTGCTTAAATGCTGGAGTTTACCCCATACCACTCGGTAGGACTTGTATGACCAGCTATCATTATCATTAGAAAGCAAGTCAGTTATTAATTCAACACTACTTTCTAATGGCCAGCTCTTTGATTAAGCTGTTAGGTGAGGTACCTGAATCCCTATTTGTTTTTTTAACACGTCCCCCTCCTCCCCCAAAAGCATATTGGACTTGAAGTATGGATGATTACAAGCCTATCTATACCTTGAGGGCAATTAGGATTGAACATTATACCACTATTTTGAAAAAAATTGGACTGGATTGGATAGTTGGACACTTGGACCGTTCAACTTGGGCAGGTCCAATTTTAGATTGAACTGCTATTTTTGAAAAAAAAAAAACATTGAAATTGTTAAATCAAGGTTTTTAAAACCGACCCGGAGAATGAACTGGTCATGGGTCTGGTTCCTGGGTTAAATGGTTCGATCGTTCAAATCGAACAGTCATCCCATTCTGACAAAAAAAATAAAAATAAATAAAAAGCGATCAAAATCGTTCGAACGGTTCAACCGCCCAGGTCAGCGGTTTGTTAACCAAATCAACATTTTTTTTGCAAATATCCAGTTTTGAAGAAAAACAGAACCGGTCACCTGACCGATTCTTGGTTTTCCCGGTCCGACCGTTTGGTCCAATCCCGTTTTGAAAACCATGTGTTAAACAACCGCTGACCCGAGCAATGGTTTGTAGGTCATTTTTTTGCTTTTTTACAACTAAATAAAAAAAAATTACATTCAAATCTCAAATCTAATTTGGGCATATGATTAGAGGTGAACACAATTCGATTAAAACCGAAAAACCGAACCAAAATTTCGGTTTTGGTTGAATCGGTTCGACTTATTCGATTGTTCTGTTTTTTATTCGGTTTCTCTATTTTTTGGTTTTCGGTTTCGGTTACTATGTTTGCTAAATCGGTTAACCGAATTAACCGAGTTAGTTTTATTATATATTATTAATATTATTTATAAATATATAGTATACATCGACTCGAATTTGGCTATATGCCAAATTTCCTTATTAAGATATAACGTAAAAGACTCAAATTTTCTTATGAGTCACGAAAACAAAACAGGAAAGAGTACTCTGACTCTTCGTCTTCTTCCACACTCCACGTCCTGAGTCTCCTGACGTGCACAGACCACAGTCCACACAGAACGGCTTCGCTGCTTCGGGCCTTCAGCAATCGACAGTTCGGACTTCGGTGCTCACAGTTACAGAGTACTCTTCGGCAGTTCGCAGTTCGCCAGTTCAGTTCTTCTACATTCGCTAGGTAACTCTCAAACCTTCTTCTTCTTCTTCTTCTTCTTCTTCTTCTTCTTCTTCTTCTTTTTCTTCTCCGTCGAGTCTCGACTTCTATGGTTATAGCATCCATTTTTATATTCTAAACCAGAAATCTTCTTCGTCCCAAAAATCTTCTTCGTCAGAACAGAGACTCTTCTCCATTTTTATTTTCTTACAGTTACAGAGTACAGAGACTCTTCTCCGTCAGAACATCCTCCAAGGTCGGGGACTTAATCTCTCTTTTTCTTTTGATAAACTGAGACTTGCTCTCTCTCTCTCTTGTCTGTTTCATCTCTGTTGTATGATTGTATCATTTCCCTGTCATCGATGTGCTACTGCCTACCTCACAAAGATAAGCACTATTATCTTCCCCACCTTGAAGGAGATTAAACCATTGAAATCCTCTTAAAAACTTTGTTAAGAGTCTTGATGGAGGGTGATTTGGCCCGACCTCGTAGCACGGGGACACGTGTGCGTGACCTGGCTCAATGAACAGAACCTCAGCACAACCGCGACTTGACGTGAGAGACATGCCGAGTCCAACGCTATCCACTCGGCGGGTTAAGCGACTCGCCGAGGACTAACACCTGGCTAACCTTAACTCTCACCAAGTGTGGGAGGTCCCGAGCTCCTCTCGAAGCCCGAGCTCCCCTTGAGGTCCGAGCTCTTCCTAAGGGGCTCTGAGCTCTCCCTTCCTAAGAAGGGAGCACCCCGGTTTTTGGCTAAGTATCCCGAGGGAGAAGCACCTCGGGGCAGCACCGCCTCCAACGCAGGCACCTCGGCACCTCGGTACCAAGACAAACCTACCCCAAGTAGGGCTCTGATCCCTTGCCAGGCGGCGTTCTGTTTGCCATCTCTGAAAAGCATGGCACGTCAGTCAAGTCCATACCTAGCGATAGTACTCTGTAGCAGCAACCTGCACCTGCCCTGGTAGTAACGGTTAGGGCAGTGGCGGTTACGCCAGGTATGACCGAGCTCCGACATAAAAGAATTCCAACTCTCACGAAGCAAAGGTATTAAAGCTTAAGCACTTTCAACACTCTTATTCTCTATTCCTTCTTTGAGATTTCTCTAATTCTAACTTAACCATCGGAGTGTTCCCACCGGGAGAACTCCCCGAGAACCCTTCACCTTCTCCTTCCTCTTAGGTGTCGTCCATTCCAACCAGAAGCCAAGTCACAACCAGCTAGGAGTGCCCAGATTGTGTAGCATCAAGTCTGCTTTTTTTCCTTTATTTTTCTACTGAGGATAGGGAATAAACTTTGTTAAACTTAACAAGAGCAGCTTTTGCAATTTTCAATCAGTTTTTACAATTTTCGGTTTTAATCGAAAAAGCTGACTTAACCGAAAAAAAAATCAGTTCGGTTTGTTCGGTTTAACCTAAATTCGATTTCGGTTTGATTGCCACATTTCATATTTCAGTTTCTGAAAATTCGGTTTGTTCAATTCGATTTTAAACCGAACAAACCATTTGCTCACCATATGGTTAGGGTTTTAGAATTTAAGAAAAGAAGGAAAAAGACAAACTCTTCTCTCTTTCTTTTTCACTTTTCAGCATGGTTTTTAAAACCGAACCGATCAGGGATCTGATTACCGAGTCAAACGGTCCGACCATTCAAACTAAACACTCGACCCATTCTAACAAGAATAAAAAAATTCAAAAAAATAAAAAAACGGTCAAAATCGTTCAAACGATTAACCGCTCGGCTCAGCAGTTCGCTGACCAAAATCAACAGTTTTGGGGAAAATCCGGTTTTTGGAAAAAACAGAACCGATCACCTGACCGACTCCCAGTTTTTCCAGTCCAGACCAGTTTTGAAAACCATACTTTTCAAACCTCAGTTCTCAGTTCCAAACTTGAGCCACCATCTGACCTACGGTGACCAGCAACCAACAACCGGCGGTGGGTCCTCCGTCTTTCTCTCTCAACAAATACAAACCAACAACAGTGAGTCCGTCCCTCTCTCTTTCTCTCTCATCCTCCCAACAACAATGGGTTAGCAGAAATCACATCTTTTTCAGCCGCACAGAAATGCATTTTCTTCTGGACAGACAATGGAAATGTAGAAGCAACCACTAATACAACACGAATGCCAAAACATTTCTGAACATAAAATAAATGCTTTTGTCAGACGATCAAGCCCTATGGGCATCAAAATAGTGAAATACCATTTGCATTTGCAATGAAAGGAAAACGATAACAGTTCCCTTCTCAGTTGTTCTCTCTGCTGCAACAATGACCAGTAAATGGACAAGGATGATCGTAACCATGGTGGACAACTGGACACGGCTGCCGTCCCCTCCCCTTTGTTTCTCAGCCCGCTTTCTCATTGACTCTTCTCTAATAGAAAGCATTTTATATGATCCTTCTAATGAGACCTAATATGCTAATCCAACAACAGCCAGGATACAATAAATAAATAAACATGAACCAGTGGTCAAAGCGGTTTTTTCCCACTTGGTCAAACAAACTTTGATATCATTCAACCCAAAAGCAAGCTTTAAGCTATTATGTTAGGTACCTAAGTAGATATTTATTCTCTAACAGCATAATAGGTCCAGCCACGTTTCAACAAAAGCCCATAAAAAGGTTCACAAATGCCACAGGGAAAACATGTCACAAATCAAAACTCATAGGATTGACATCTGGCATAGACAAAGAATGACTCTCTCATGGCTGGTTCGCAGATCTTACTAGCTTTCACATAGACTTGAACATTAAGGCCCTCAATCCTTTTCATGTGTTCAATACATTTAGACACCAAATAAAGGTCCACCTTAGAATATTGTAAATGGTATCTTTACGATTGTGGTAAAAGCATGGAACTTGTGTTTGTGTATCAAGGTGAGTCTTCTTCTGCTCTAAAGCCTAAACCTTTGGAATAGAATGAAGAGTGAAGAGGCCTACTAAGAGAAGAACCAGAAAAAACTTAAAAAGATTCTTTTTAGCGGACTGTAAGGAAACTTGCCAAAAAAATTCTGTGCAAGTCTGATAAAATTTTTGAGCTTTAAAAGATTTAAAGAGGATAGTGGATTGTTATGCAACAATTGGCAGGCCTTCCTTTTTGGGAGGAATCACCACGTTCTTGTTTCCAGGGAAGGCATTGCGAGAAATGTCCACTAGGGCTTTGAAGCTATATGGCTCGTGCATCGACAGTTCTGACAGCACCTTCCTATTCAGTTGGATGTTCTCCTTCATCAGCCCATGCATGAAGTTTCCATAATTTACCTAACAGAACAGTAATAAAAGGATATGAATACAAACTACAGAAGCAAACTAGCACATCGAACATCATCTTGAAAACTTGAAAAATCAGTTGAGAGTACACATTCAGATGTTTCTTGAGCTAATCACAAATCATCATTTGAGACCATAAACAAACTCCATCATGGAGTGTTCTTTTTTCCCTCTTATTTATTTATTTATTTATTTTTGTGGCATGGTGACCCATTAACATGCAATGAAGAATAGAAGCATTATCTTTACCATTGATTACAACAAGGTTTATGATTTGCAAATATGTATTGAGCAGGTATTGGTAAATAGAAGTAAAACCCCAAAGGGGGGAAGAAGAGAGTGTTTAACCAAATCAAGCCTACATGTTATTCTCTCAGGGATATCTCAATCCTAATCTTTGCTTGATGAGTGACAGTCCTCGAAGACATTAACTAACACATTGAACATCTAGCATATGTTCCACAAGGAAATCTACCCCCGCTAAAAAAAGGAAAAAAGGGAACTGAGATCATCAAATGTTAACCTGATTGGATGATCTTAACCATTTTCCCTTTCTGCTGTCATATAAATAAACTGTAGTTTTTTTCAGAACCCTCAAAAGAATATGATATGGATCTTAATCTCATTTACCAAGCAAATCAGTATTATTCAAGAAGCATATGGAAATTCATTTATCTGATGTAGACACATCAGTCATCCTAAAACAATTTAACTTAACAAAGCCATCTCCCAATTAGACCTGTTCATGGGCTGGGTAGCCCGATGGCCTGGCCCGGCCCAGCTGCAGTTGGGCTTGGACATATTATTAGGCCCATGGGCCCAGGGTCGGGCCCTATTATCTAAGCCCAACCTGATTTTGGGCCAGGCTCAGGATTTCACAAAAAAGCGTGGCCCGCGCCCAGCCCGGTCTGACAATATTTTATATAATTAATAATATATATTATTAAAAATATAATATTTCTAACCCTAGCCCAAATTTTCATTCAAACTCATCCCTGTTTTGTTTGAACTTCAAATGAACTAATCCCCTTCACAGCGGCAGCCGACGGTAATGCTTCTACAATCTACACTCAAGCAGCAACCCAGTGACCGGTGAGGCGACGGCATCTCTCCAAAACTGTTACGTTTTCTTAATAAGCAATAAATTGTTACATTATTTCAATTCAATTTGAAAACAGATTTGTTGTCCATTTCAATATAGGCCGTTTTCCCCCTTTCCTGATGGGCTTCAATATAGGCAGGTACAAAGAGTGAAATTAGTGCCTTTTGATTTTCTCATAGCTTTTGAAAGAGCACAGATGGAAGCCACAAGTCCTTATGAAATTGAAAAGGCTAATATGAAAACTCACGTGCATAGTATGATGAAAACTGGGAACCCAAACAACGATTACTATTGGAATTTTTGCAAAAATTTGGTACGTCAGACAAATGCTATAATCTGTGCTATGCACAAAGAAACAAAAGCCACATTTTGACACAAAACAATGTGTCAGACACCCCAAGCCCCAAAATCTAAAACCATGGACAAGGCCATGAATTGATACCAACCTACATTTATAATTATGTAAATTTATATGAAGATCAGATGCCTACACAATATGTTCTCAAATTTAAAGGAAGAATAATATAGTGGACCACACAATACAAACTACATAAGAATGTCTTTATGTCATAATAAGTTGGACAAGTTTATATTTGTCCAAAAGGTATTGATATATGCTTCTGTCAACCTGTTTCCAACATGCCAGAAATCAATAGAGAAATTAAAAATATCAAAAATAGAATGGAAGATGAGAATGATGTCTAATGGATGATGCCCCTGGAACTCCATGGAAGATTGGGATTCACATGTGTATGGTTCACTGAGATAGAAGTGCTGAACCTACTCTATTTTACTCAAACATATCCCAGAGAGGGAGGGGAATGAATGAGTGATCATGGGCCAGGCCAGGATGGAGCAGGTTCCAGGCCTATAATTTTAAATTTTAAATATGAAATATTAAATATAATATATGAAGCCTATTGGCGTTTCCAGTAAAAAAAGGGAAAAGGAAAATAAACACCAATTTGCACACAATCTTGAAAACCCCATGAAGAAGACTCCTGTAAGTATGGTAGATGCACTACATTTTCTCACATTTCAATCACATCTGATAAAGGAACTAATAAATTAAAGCACCAACCTTTTTTCACAACTTTACACTAAAATCTAGTTCCCATTGATCAAGATTTCATTCATCTATACTTAAGTCTACATATAGTTTGCAAAATGGACTCTTTAAAATGTGAACATATACTAAGTTTTCATCAACATAAACAAGTATACACATGGAAACGATGACTCCAAATGAACTTCAAAAAGGAGAGGATGCACCAATTAAGGCTTTGAGTCAACTTACCCCATGCAAGCGGGTGCCAGCATTGATCCTTTCGATCCAAAGGGAGCGCATGTCCCTCTTCTTGTTGCGCCGATCCCTGTACGAATACTGCAAGGCCTTCTCCACTCTCTCCCTTGCTATTCGGATGCAGTTCTTGGCTCTTCCTCTAAACCCCTTTGCAAGCTTGAATATCTTGTCCTTGTTCATCTCTCTCCTCTATCTTTTGTCACTCTTGCTTGTTCTCTCTGCTTCTTAATTAAATACAATGACACGAGCTGGACACATAACCAGAATTTCTGCTGGGTAACAGGTCAAATGGTCCAAATATGTCTAATGGTCAAATACCATTAAAATTCAAAAAGTACAGAACAGCATGAATAATTCCTGAGTTATAGAAAATTTTGGAAAAATATGCAACAAATATATGTCTAATGGCTCATCACCAGAAGTCCAAACTCAAAAGAAGCCATTTTCTGTTACTAGAAAGAAGAATATAGAAATGAAACCAGTACTTGAACTATCTCATTTCCATCTTTAGTTGGCAACCGGAAATGCTTAATTAAACTGAAAACATGTGGAAGTTGTAGACAACAATCAAATTAAATGTCTCATTTCTATCATCCAGTGTCTAAAGATACTACACATCATACAACATGACAATTGACAACAATCGAATAAGAATGAGAGAAGAATAAATACAGAAAATAAAAAATAATTAGAAATTTAGGATCACAAGAAAAAAAACTTACTATTTGTGTCAATACACTATCATATCTCATGTGAATTATTTATGTTTTGTTTAAGGATTTTATCATTGAGAGATCCAAGGGTTTTAAGAAGAAAATATAAGCAAAATAGAGGGCTTGTATCCAAAAACCTATGTGAAAAGAGAATATGATTCAAGATAAAAAGAAAATTTTATATAACACTTATAAGGCCAGCAATGTTGTATGGAGCTAAGTGTTGGATGGTCAAGAAGCAATATGTCCAAAAAAAAAATCAGTGTAGTGGAAATGGATGAGTGGGAAAACTAGAAATGATAGAATCGGAAGCACATTTTAACCTGCTCCAAAACCAAAAAAAAAAAGAAAAAAATTGAAATCTTGTCAAGTTTTTCTCAAATATCTCTATATGTGTAGTGTTATATACCTCTTTCATTTCATTAGCGGTCAAAACGAAAACAAAATCTCGAAATTGCAAAATTTGGGTCAAAATTTAAATCCTATACTATGAGTATCCCCATAAACTGATATAGATAATAGTAATACTTGGCATATCCCAGTATTCTCCGGAATGACAAAGTTCACATAGCTTCACATATTACATATTATAGTATTTATTCTCCAACTAAGCCCAAAATTACAAAATTATTTTCTGCATACCATGGTACATACTAATATAAATTTTCATAAATACAAACACTGGCATTCATTATGACACAAATAACAGCATGAATGGATTCTAAACCAAAATGTTGTACGTAATTTCTAAAAGATACTGATGGTGATATCTTTGCATCCTGTCCTTCCCATGTTATGGAAGAATATCAGAACTTTCGATTTCGAGAAAACAATTCGACGGTGATAAATATTGTCCATTGATAGACAACGCTGGAATAGATCCTTTTTAACCCCCAATATTCTGCTCCTGGGCCTCATGAACAGGTAAGACAATGGTCCAGAAAAATGATAAGTCAAACCTATTTTAGGATCCAAATCATGCAACACTCAGAATTTTCTTGTTCGGGTGAAAAAAACGAGGAAGAACCACGGTTTTATTTGGACTGTAAGACCAGAGACCGGTCTCCTCATTTCTCTTTTGGTGAGTGAGATGAACTGAAATGCCATATCTTAAAGTTGCAATACATAACCTCAAATGGTAACTCCGATTTAGAGAAGAAACCCTAAATAATCCTAATCCCGCAAAAGAAGAAAAATATAAGTCTCATACCTCCTCTACTTTCTGGTAGCTTCTATGCCGACGACCTATCAGTTCCTCTAATGGATTTCGGCGGGAACGACGAGAGGATTAAAGTGAGATATAATTGTGTAACGGGTCCTTTCTGTTCTGCCCGACTGCCATGTATAGAAAGAGAGCTACGCATTTGTACTTTGGAAAACATAGCTTAGATGGTGTTTGGTATTGTTTCGCGCCACGTTTGCAACTTGGCTGGTGCTGGCCCAACCCGAGTTCGGATCCGCCCCGTAGGGCCCTGTTTGACAATGTTTCCACCTGTTCTTTTATGCTGTGTTTGGTTTGAAGGAAAAAAATAGGAAAATGAAGAGAAATGTAGGAAAACCTTTACAACCTTGCATATGTTTCCTTTCCTTTCTCTATCTTTTTCTTCAAACTAAACATAGCCTTAGAAATTCTTGTGATAGAACAAGTTCCTTGAAAGTAATAGAGGAGTTTAGCAAATTATTTTTTGATAGCGGATTTTTGTTCTATAGAAACAAAAATAGTATTTGGATGATGAAACAATTTCTTAACATAAGTTTTGCAAATCCATCAACACAAAAAAAACCCCATATTTTATGATATTCAATAAAGTAAAATAAATTAATATGAAAAAACGAGTTCAGATGAAAGTGGATGGAAACTTGACAACTTTTAAGGTATGTTTGGTTTGAAGGAAAAAGTAGGGAAAGGAAGGGAAAGATAGAGAAACATTTACAAACCTTGTATAGGTTTCCCTACTTTTCCCTTTCTTTCCCTACCTTTTCCTTCAAACCAAACATAGCCTTAGAGAAGATGGTGTTGCCAGAGATGTAAGCTTGGGTGAAATGTGTGAAATGGGCATAAAAACAGGGCAATGACAAGTATAAAACTAGGTATGACGAGAATGAACTTAACCTATCTGTTTACGTGAATCTGGCCAAAAATGTTGTCAGAGATTTGTTCTATTTGTTCGCCATCTGGTTGTTGATGCAGTAGGAGCCAAGGAAGTTTCCTCCTCTAGGTTGTGTAGTAGCAATGAGGTAAGTGTCGAACGAATGAGAATTGTTGTTTTAGGGCTTGTTTATCATTTTTGCATGAAATGCCAAAAATAACCTTTCTCTCATATGGGAATGACATTCATGTGTTCGTTAATATGCATAGACGTGCCTTCCCAGAGAACTCGTTTTTTGAGTGTCAATTTGCCACTCCCAAAGAACACGGGAGTGGCTTGTTTCTTTCATTTTCTTTTCCTGCCAAATGCGTTTTTGTTCTGCGAGAACGTCGAGAACAATAGAAACACTTTCACAGAATGTTGCCAAACAAGGCCTAATTTTATGATTTTCATTTTTTAGTCCACCAAAATGTCATGCTAGGTTTTTTTTATCAGGATAATATGCAAAGACCCGCTGTACTGTGGGGTTAGTGACAATTATCCCCTAAACTTTCATTTGTGATAAAGACCCCTTATGAAGTTTATAATAAATATTTACTCCATTAGTGTTCCATCAATTAACTTGGAAAAAGATTCTTATTCAAGTGTTTAAAACTTTTAAGTCCTTAAATTATCCTTTCCTCATTTGTTTAAACGATTTATGATTCTATTACTTTTCTAAATATATAATATTAAAATCCTCTTGGTTGTTTTAGTAAATCCTTGCAGATTTTTGGTTAGATTTAATATTTAAATAAAATGGTAAAAATTTCTTTCTTATGGATATAAATTTAAGGTCTTATTTGTTTTTCTCGATTTATTAGGTAAAGGAGTGGATAATTTTATATTTTATGATGAAAAGAGGCATTCATGTTAGTGAAATGAAACAAGATAATGAAACTCGTTTTTTTCTATGTCATTAAAACAATTCTTGTTACTTTAGCTCGTTTCATTTAGAGAAAATGGATGTATTTGGGGTCAATTAGGTTTTATGAGAAAAAAGATGAGGAAAAAAATAAGGATAATTCATATGGGTATTTTGGTAATTTAACACATTCCATTGTTTAACTTAACTGCTAGGGGGTATTTGCTAGAAAGTGGAAGTTCAGGGGGTCATTGTCACAAACAAAATTTTGGGGGGTAATTGTCACTAACCCCATAGCATAGGGGTTCTTTGTAATCTACCATTTTTTTTTAAATTTTTTTGGCAATGGGTTATTAGATGGTAGCTCAGTTTGGAAGGAATACAAATGCAAATATGTAGAGTGCAAAACTATGTATTTTGTATTATTTTATATGTATTTATATTGTATCTGTTTGTATTTGTACTCCTTCCAAATAGGTTTAGTCATATAGTTTAATCGAGTTTACATCTGCACCCTATTTGTTCCCCACATGCACATCTCAACGTGCATTGGGAACATCTCCCATACTTGTCATTGGGAGATGTTCCTAATACACGGTTGGGATGTGCTATGGGGGTGCAGATGTGAATTCGGTTTAATCATATCTAGAGGTGCAATTTATTTTAGCCCAATTTAATATTTTACACTATTTTGGGCTTCAAATTGAATTGATTGAAAATTTGACAAAATTCCAACCCTAATCCACCCAAGTTATACCCCTAAAACTTAACCACATCACAGTGAGGCTCAGTACATTCAAACAAAAAAACTTTGGTTGTTGGGGGCCAATAGCCTTTTGCTATTGAGAACATTTTTGGGAATTCCATGTTACCATAGTGGGGTAAAATAGTAATTGCTCCTTATTTCTTTTTAACCATAAACATAGACACGGGCGTGAATTGGTGAACGTGTCCAGCCTAAAAACACTCTCAACAGCCAAAATTAACTCCAGATGTAGGGACATCTGGAAAACCTGCAGATGTTGGCACGTGGCATCGACCAGATGCATCCTAGTCATCCATCATCAACTGTCTCGAACTACTCCTCCCTTAAGGCAACTCTGGCTATTATAAAAGGGGGGGGGTTCCACATTGAGATAAGGGCATGAATACACACAAGGCTTAAGCTCTAGCTTTCCTCTCTTGCTTGGTTTGACCCCTTGCACCACTCAGCTAACTTGACCGTCGGAGCCTTCACTCCTGGGATAACTCACAGGGCCTTTGATGCCTTCTTTCTTTCAATAGGTTGGATCCATTGGCCTTAGACACCTGAAACTACGTGATTGCCCTCGACATGAAATTTGGCAGCAACAATTGGCACCGTCTATGGGAACGTCTTTAAGGCTTCTCCTTAAGAAAACAATCCAGACTTAATCGAATAGTGTTTCCGAAATGGCTGACAAGCTAGACCCCACTCCTAATGCTTAGAACTTAGTCACGATCAACCAGTTCAGATTAGTCCTGGATAGGCTAGACCACTTGGCCTAGCGTTTGAACAATATAGGGTGCCTGACAAGAAGCCACCTACAAGGTGACTGCCCTGTCGGAAGCCACAGACAACATAGCAGGCGATCAACCCGCGCCCCGCAGAGTCAGCACTTGCGCGGTCCAAAGGAGGTCAACCTTATGGAATCTGATAGCAACAACTGACGGGCTAGCAAGCCCCGTTCAAAGACCTCTAGGCTACCCATTTGACAGGGCAAACCCATAGGGTCCTACCACAAGCACAGGGACCACAACTATCATTACCACCATGGGTTGACCAATCGGGACGATGGCGGGCGCTCAACTATAGTCCCCCTCCAAGGGTAGGAAGCCGACGCCGTGCCTCTCCCCCACTAGTCTCCGACCTCTGCAACCTCCTTAATGACCGCCGTGCCTGCAAGGATCAAGACACGTCGGTGTCCGAACACTCCAGGAACAGGGACGGCCCATCCCGCGTGAATGAGAGCCAGAACCAAGCCGAAGCATCGAGGCCACACATTGGCCAACACCTAGGATCTATTCAAGCACAAATTGGTGCCGTTCAAGATTAACTCAGTAGGTGAAGGAGGGTCGTGGTGACGCCTAGGCCAATTGCCATACTTCGCCTGCCCGGATGGAGGCCTTTGTGGATTCATCACCTCTGAGTCCCTCCTATCAAATTTCAAGGCTTCGGTGCTAGAAACTTACGATGGGAGTACAAAACCCGAAGACCATCTAGAAAGCTTTTGGGCCCTCATGCTCCTTCACATATTTTTTGATGCCCTCATGTGTCAGGCCTTCTAGGTCACATTCAAAGGAGCAACACATTGATGGTTCTCAATGTTGCAGTTCACAGATCTCTTCCTATCTCACTTCATGAATAGCCAACAATGTTAGAAAACCGTCATCTCTTTGATGTCCATCAAGCAAAAGCCAGGAGAAAGCCTTCGGTCATACATGAAAATATTCAATCAGGAGGAACTCGAGGTCAAGGACCTTAACCCTTCGGTCTCCATGGCCGCGACCATCAACAGGCTCCGGTCGGGGCCCCTCAGCTTGTCCATCTCCAAGAATCCACCCAAGACTAAAGCCCAATTTCTGAAGAAGGTCTAGAAATACATCGCCGTTGAGGAGGCCAAATCCAATAAATGCCTCCAAAACTCAGAAGTTGGTCCCAACGATAAGAAGAGGAAGGAAATGGATGGTTGTGACGACAACCCCGCCAACAAAAGTATTGGGAAGAAGCCGCCAGCCCCTTCCTTTGATAGGTATACGCCACAAAGCTTCTCCCGAATGCACATACTGATGCAAATAGGTAAGGAGGAATTTATGAAGTAGACAGCCAAATTGAAGAGAAACCCAAGAAGGGGGAACCCCAAGAAGTACTACAAGTACCACTACGGCATTGGCCACGACACTAAGAATTTCTATGACCTCAAAAACAAGATCAAGTCCTTCATCCGTCATGGGCACTTAAAGGATTATGTTAAGGGTGATGCCCATGCATCATCCTTGCAATAGCTACAGACCAGGCCCGAGGCCCATTGCCCCTAGCCGAAACCATTGAAGTCATAGCTAGGGGCCCAGCCTTAGGGGGAGCATCCACCTCGTGTCAAAAGGCATACGCTAGGCAGTATAACATTCAGAGCCAGGCATCGAAGAGGTAGAGGCCGGAGGTGGTGTTGATGGTCGTCGCCAACTACATGGTGAAAAGAATCCTCATAGAAAATGGCTCCTCGACTGATATTATGTTCTATGAGACATTTAAGAAGTTGCAGCTAATGCCAGATTGACTGCATCCCGCTGGCGTGCCACTCGTCGGGTTTTCTGGAGTAGTTATCAAACCTAAAGGAAGG